ATCGCTGTTTGCCCTTCCTCTGCCACAGAAGTGCAGCCAAATTCACGATCGACAATGACCCATGATCCTCTCTGATCAATGATGTTTCTCTCTCCCTCTCCCTTCTGCTCTGAAGTCAACAACAATATTATTTTTTTTTTAATCTGAGGATGACAATGTCTCTGGGAGGAACGTTTTGGACAGTGACAAGGTCTTGCTTCTCTGTCCCACATAATGCGCTTCCGGCACACGGTCCTGTTGGTGGTGGCATCTCCCCCGAAGCGGGGGTGCAGGTGTGAGGAAAAGACCGCACGTCTCCACGCTGACGGGGCGCTGCCTGCGGATGCCCGTGGAGCAGGCCCCGCTGCCGGCACGGGCGGCTCTGTCCGCCGGGAGCACTCAGCTCCCGCACCCGCCGGGAGCACGCCCCACCCTGGCCACCCTGGGGTGTGGTGGCCACCACGGCCCACCCAAAGGGGGATGTGTTGGAAAACAAAAACTTTCACTTTAAAAAATGTGTTGGGTTTTTTTTATTGATTTCAGAGAGGAAGGGAGAGGGAGAGAGAGATAGAAACACCAATGATGAGAGAGAATCATTGATCGTCTGCCTCCTGCACGCCCCTCAGTGGGGATCAAGCCCCACAACCCAGGCATGTGGCCTGACTGGGAACGGACCCGTGATCTCCTGGTGCAAAGGTTGACGCTCAACCACTGAGCCACACCAGCCGGGCAACTCTCACATTGCTTACAGCGTAACATTCCAAGTTACTGTCCAACAGTGTCCTGCCCCCAGAGAAGGGGAAGTTTGATATTCCGAGTCAGGTCTCCCTAATGCTTAACTGGTGGTGGTGGTGGGGGGGGGTACAGAAAGATTGGGGACCCAGGTGCCATCTGCAGGTAAGGACAGCCCCATGCACAGGTGTCACGGGGCTCAGAAGGTAAACATAGAAAAGGGGGCTCGGCAAACTCAAGGTCCCCCACCCCCCAGCAAAGGTGACATCACACAGAGCTGCTCAACAGGCACACAGGCCCGTGTGGCCGTGACTCTGAGTCGGCGGGTGCACCCAATCACAGCGTGTGGCATCCCTGTCACCATGGCTGTTCCTGTCTCTCTCCCTCCCTTCCTCTCTGAAATCAATAAACATATATTTAAAAAAATAAAAATGAAAACGCATATAAAAAGTTCAGACGCCCCTGGAAGACACAGGACAATTGAAGAAACCTTGACCACCTTTACAACAAAAACCGCACGCGCCCCTACCTTCTCCGATGCCCTGTCTTGCGCGGGCGGCCCGGCCCCGGGCAGGGACGGAGGCGGCGGGGCCCGGCGCTTCTTCACGTCGGACTTGACGGACACCCCCGAGATGTTGCTCAGAGAGAGCGAGGGGCCCAGCGTGATGGAGCGGGAATTCACGGACGGGGAGTTTGGCGTCGTCAGAGAGCCCTGTCGGGGAGACAGACGGACACCCCATCAGTTCTGTGTGCCTGCTCCCCACCAGAGCTCAGGCCTGAGCGCCAGTGCCCATGCGCGTCGCCTCCATGACCTGCTCCTGTTATCTGCTCTGAACCCAGACAACCACGCGACGGCGTGACACCCGATGCTCACGGCAAACACGCAGCGAAGACGGCCACCGCGGACGCACACGACGTGTCCTCAGAGCCCAACCCTTCCCCACAGATTCTACCATGGAAGTCTCTACTTAACCCTGCCTTTCCCTTCCTGTTGTTCCTGATGTTCTTGTTTTCTTTTTCTTTTTTAAAAAATATATTTTATTGATTTTTTACAGAGAGGAAGGGAGAGGGATAGAGAGTTAGAAACATCGATGAGAGAGAAACATCGATCAGCTGCCTCCTGCACACCTCCTACTGGGGATGTGCCCGCAACCAAGGTACATGCCCTTGACCAGAATCGAACCCGGGACCCTGGAGTCCGCAGGCCGATGCTCTATCCAGTGAGCCACACCAGTCAGGGCTTGTTCTTTTTTTAACCTCCTAGGGATGTCCTCCCAGTGGTTATCGTCCAAATCCTCTCCGGGGCCACTCAGCACCGACTGCGGCCGTCCCTCCTCAACGGGGCCTCCGTGCTGCCTCCAAAGACTCACGGCAGGAGCGTCACCGTGTGAGCGTCACCGTGTGAGCCTTCGCGAAAGGCTGCCGCTGACGGTGCCTCCTGTGTGTAACCACAGACCCCCGGCCTGTCATCGGGCAGCAAACGGCCCCGCCTCGCTGCGACCAGGGGGTGAAAGGGAATCCCGGGTCCCTGTCACCCCAGAAGGAGGGTCACATGTTGAGAAACTGTACGTCATCTGGGGTCTATTTCTGGGGTGCCTCCAGCAGAGGGGACATCCCAGCACACAGGGTGTACGTTTAAAAATATGTCTATTTGTATTGATTTGAGAGGAGAGAGGGAGAGAGAGATAGGAACATCGATGGTGAGAGAGAATCATGGATCGGCTGCCTCCTGCACGCCCCACACTGGGGATGGAGCCTGCAACCCGGGCCTGTGCCCTGCCCGGGAGTCGAACTCTGTGACCTCCTGGTTCCTAGGTGGACGCTCACCACTGAGCCACGCCGGCCGGGCTCCACGATTTGATTTTGATTCCCTCATCTCTCTGTGGTGTCTTTTATAGGGACACCCGGCCCTTCAATGAAAATGGGCTTTGGGGACGGGGGCCCTCCTAGAATCCCCGAGGCCAGAGAAGAGGAGCGGGTAACGGGCCAGGCATGCACCTCTCTTAGGCGCTGGCCGGGAGCTCATCGCTCTGCAGACACACAGACCGGGCGCCCCAAACCGGGGAAGACACGCGGCCTTTACGGAAATCAAGAGGCCACGCCCGCGCGGAGCGGAGCGCAGGGGACGAGATGCGCGGGGGAAAGCTGCTCCGAGCTCGGCGTCGGCCAGAAACCACGCGGGCCCGGGCCCGGATGGGAAGGCATCCGCCCTCCGAACTCCCCGGGCTGCTCACTCTACCGTCTGGACGGAAGGCACTGTGAGCGGTACCAGCCGCACGTTTGAAAAGTCTCGTCTAAACGGACTGATGATAAAGACCGGCTCCGGTCACAGGCAGGCGGCTGGGCCGCGGGACATGCTCTGTTCGCCCTGGTGAGCGGGCTCCGCCCACAAGGCATGTTAGGTTTGCAGGCAGGAGGGCGGGTTCCCAGGGGACTGGCTGTGCTCGTGAAGACACTGCCCCCTTGTGGCCGAGCTGGCTCACCACACCTCTGGTTCTGGAGCATCCACTTGGGACAGGATGCTTTATTTTACTTTTTTAAATGTTTGAAAATTGTGGACGATGTTACCAATGTCCCCCTTCCCTCCCTTTGCCTCCCTCCACCCAACCCAGCCCCACGCCAGGCCGCGCCCACTCGGTCTGCGTCCCCGGCGATGTTTCCACGCTCATCGGGAACCTCTCGCTGGGACGGGATTCTTCCCGGGCAAACGGGACAGAGGGCGGGGTCTCCGACACGCAGGGGGCGGGGCAGCGGAAATGACGGGGTGTGGTTTACAGCTGAGTTGTGCTGCTCTTTAAAATATGTTTTTATGGACGTCAGAGAGGAAGGGAGAGAGAAACATCCATGATGAGAGAGTCATTGATCGGCCGCCTCCTGCACGCCCCACACTGGGGATCAATCCCACAGCCCAGGCGTGTGCCCTGACCGGGAATTGAACCCTGACCACCTCGTTCAGAGGTCCACGCTCAACCACTGAGCCACGCCAGCCGGGCTTTACAGCTTAGTTTTTTTTTTTTTTAATATATTTTATTGATTTTACAGAGAGGAAGGGAGAGAGATTGAGAGTTAGAAACATCGATGAGAGAGAAACATCGATTAGCTGCCTCCTGCACATCTCCCACTGGGATGTGCCCGCAATCCAGGTACATGCCCTTGACCGGAATCGAACCTGGGACCTTTCAGTCCACAGGCCGATGCTCTATCCACTGAGCCAAACCGGTTTCGGCATACAGCTTAGTTTTTAATAACTTTGCCCCAAAGCATCATGTTACTGGTGGGTGCCCCCATACGTGTCAGGACTCCTACAGGTGGGACCGTCCTCTGCCCGCCTCCCTCGGGGCCGGGCCCAGGGGGCTCATGTCTCCGTGATCTGCGTTTGGAAACCAGTTCAGAGCAGTGAGACGCAAAGACCGCGATGATGGTGCTTCTGTCACCGTCTTCGGGGCAAAGGGGAGACGCCCCGCGGCATCGCACGAGGCTCACGCCGATTCACTTCTCATGGGTCCCAGCAGGTGGCTTCCTATTCATCTCTGTTCGGAGAACCTTTTATCGTTTTATTTTTTTATGACAATTGGGTTGACTGGCCAGGAGAAAGGTGCCCAGGGACAGTTTCCTGTCCGCCGGAAGCACATAAACGATGCCCGTGCTCTCCTTTCCTCTTTGTTGGACTTATGGGCGGCACTGGTGAACAGAAGTACACACAGCCCCCGACACGCCCTGCGCCCTGCGTGTGTGCTCAGCACCCGATCACCACCCTGAGCCCAGTCTCATCGGTCACGCTGGGCCAGTTGCACGGATGGAACGCGGCTTTGGAAGCCCAGGCCAGAGCCCACAGCGGGCAGCGACCGCCGCCCAGTGAGAGGTCCCCTGAGCTGCGCAGGACTTCTCTCGTCCCTCTGGACCCCGTTCCCAAGGACGGCCGCTGCCACGCCCGGGCTGAAGGACAGACATCCCTCCCCGGAAAACAAGGGGGCTACACCCACCGACCGGACACCGTGAAGAAACCAGATGACCAGGTGGGAGGATGTTTAAAATAAACGTGTTATTAAAACACACTGTATCTGCAAACGTGAATGGAAACTGACATTTCAATTTCCTCAGACTGATGGTGACGTCGTGGGTCTAGAGCAGCGGTTCTCAACCTGTGGGTCCCGACCCCTTTGGTGGTCGAACGACCCTTTCACGGGGGTCGCCTAAGACCATCCTGCATATCAGATACTTACATGACGATGCATAACAGTAGCAACATGACAGTTATGAAGTAGCAACGAAAATAATGTTATGGTTGGGTCACAACAGGAGGAACTGTATTTAAAGGGCCAGCAGGTTGAGAACCACTGGTCTATAAAGTGCCGGCAGCTCACTGACTGCTGGGTGAGACCTGACCAAGCTCCTTCCAGCTCCCGGGATCGCAGCTCCAGGTGAGTAACAGACCCCTTAGCCAGTCACGCGGCTTCCGAACCCTGGCTGCTACGATGTGAAAAGACCCCGATCGGGTACCGGTGAAAGGCCACGAGAAGTGACCCTTGCGCCAGGACAGCCCCCGTGGGATCGGCGCGGGCAGGGTGTGCCGTGGCCAGCACGTCAAGGGCCGTTCAGCCTCCACGCTTAGTCATGAAGCTGCATCCTCGGGGCTCGCACCCCCAGCAGGAAAAGGGATGGAGTCCCCTCCGGAGACCTGCATGGTCCTATTAACCGGGGGGTGAGCCCTTTTCCTGCCCAGGGCCAGCTGCGTGTTTATAACAGCATCCGGGGCCACACAAAACCGTCAGCTTAAACACCAGCCTGCTCCATGCGGCCAGGCGTTTAATGAACGCCCCCTCGTGCCCTGGCAGGGCCAGACCAGATGGCTTCGTGGGCCTTACACGCCCCGTGGGCCGGGCGTCCCCCACCCCTGCTATTAACCAATGTCACCCCGATAGATTTGATTTTTAAAATGGAAAGGGGCACCGAGTCCACACGGAAGCTTTTCTAGTTTATCAATAAAACACGGTCACTCGTGGAAATGTGGGGCGAGTGAAAAAAAAGTGGCCTTTCATCTATTAAAGAGGTCCTTTCAAGGAAAAGCTACTTTCCCTGGTCACAGTTACAGATGGCCGCTGTAACATTCTACACCGCTCTCGTCTGTGATTATAACCAGAACTCAGCGTAGAGCGCTACCTTCCTACTTGAAGCTTTACGATCATTAGAAAATCTAAGTTAGACAGACATTCATACTTCACGTCCTATTTCATTTTAAGATGCGACGAAAGAACTCCAGGCCTGAAAACAGGCTGCGGAGCAGGAAGTTTGACACGGGCTGGCTCGGAAATGTGAAACCGAGAAGAAGAACAATAATGCAAGTTTCTCATTGCGGCAGGAGAGTCTGTCTTTGCCGTTTTTAAGACGTGACAGTAAGAATCAAACTTCCACCAGATCCATTTCAAAGGTCCATGTTTATAAGCTGCTGTGAATTCTTTCTGTCCAGTGTTTAAAATTAAGAAGAACCTTTTCCTAGGCCAACGCGGCCGTGTGGGGCTCGGGGAGTTTCTGAGGCTCTGAGGGTGTCGCTGCGGAGTGAGGAGCAGGTCGATCCAGGCGGGGACAGGCCAGTGTGTCTCCAAAACCGCCAGCTCCTTCAGGGAGGAGGTGACTCGAGAGCGCGCCACTCCAGCCACCTAGCAGCCCGGCCACGGCCACGGAGGCTGCAGGGAACTAACATCCCAGCGGCCAATGGAGCCAGAGCCGAATGCAGCTCCGCGCTCAGAGCGAATGGGAGCCCCACACCCCGGTCAATAAAGTGACTGCAATTTCACCCTCTGGAAGCCGCGCCCGCCGGTGCCAGTACTCACGTGGGAGCCCCTGCCCGGCGCCAGCTTCACGGTGTCCTCGTCGCTGTCCGCCGACAGCCGGCCCTGCTCCACCTGCAGCAGAAGCACAGCACCGTCATCGCGGGGAAAGTGGGCGCAGAGCACAGGCCAGCCGGCCACCCCAGGCGCCGCATCTGCACCCACAGCGTCCCCGCGGCCTCCCCTCAGCCGAGCCTGAAAGCCGCTCTCAGGGGCTCGCTGCTCTGGACGCCACAGCTCACAGTGGTGACTGCTCTTCCTGTTCCCCAGCAGCGTCTCTTTCTTCATTTTTTATTTTTTAAAATATATTCTTATTGATTTCAGAGAGGAAGGGAGAGAGAGAATCATGGATCAGCTACCTCCTGCACGACCCCGACTGGGATGGAGCCCACAACCCCCGCCTGTGCCCTGACCGGAATCGAACCCAGGACCGTTCAGTCCACAGGCTGACGCTCTGTCCCTGGAGCCAAACCGGCCAGGGCCAAACCCTCTGACTGGTCCAGGAATGTGCCGTGTGGGCGAGGGGAGCGTGGGGGCTCTGGACGGACAGGTGGGGGCGGGGCTCTGCGTCATCCCTCTGTGTTAGCTCCGGGCACAGCAGCTGCTCCCTGCGCCCGGAAGATGGGGCGGCCCCTCTCCCCCAGGTCTCCATAAGTTAAATGAGATTGACGGAGCAACGCATCTCAAACCACACAAGTGGAGAGACGCAGGGATGAAGCAGCCAGCCCCAAACAGCAGTAAATGACACAATAAAGATGCGACTGCAGGAAGGATGTGGAGGGAGAAACAAAATAAAGTTAACGTGAGGGAGAGATCCGCGTGAAACAGGGGGCGTATGAGGAAGGAAAACTTCCCTGGCTGGTGTGGCTCAGTGGATAGAGCGCCGGGGCTGTGGACTGAAGAATCCTGGGTTAGTTCAGGTCAAGGGCACGTGCCCAGATTGCAGGCTCGATC